CCACACGCACCACCTGCAAGTCCAGCAGCCGCGCCTTCCACAACCCTGACGGCAGGCCGGGGGGGAGAACGGGAAAGAGGGAATGAGAGTGAGTGAGTGCGTGAGTGAGTGAGTGCGTGAGTCCAGCAGCCGCGCCTTCCACAACCCTGACGAAACGACGGAATGAGAAGAGGGAGTGAGAGGGAATGGGAAAGAGGAAATGAGAAAGAGTGAGTCAGAGTGCGAGAGAATGGACGCAGCAGGAATGGAAAAAAGAGGCGGAATTTGAAAGACGGAGAGGAGGAAAAGAGGACTCTTCAGCATTATCACCCTCCATTTCCCCTTCCCACCCTTCCCCCCATTACCCCACCCACTTCCCCCTCCTCCCCCATTGCACTCACCAGCATGTCTGTAACGAACGCGCATCGCTAGATTCTTCGCCACAGCGCGCCAGATCGGCCACCACGCCCAGTAGAACGCGGCAGTCGCGGCGGCGATCACGCTCACACTGTACAGCGCCACGGCCAGACCCATCGACACCACGAACCGCCTCACCCACGCCGCCGGGCCGCCCAGCATCTGCAGCACCTGCGGCCCGGACCCCGCCAGCGGCACCAGCAGCGCCAGCGCGCCGTCCGCCAGCGCGTGGACGGCCGGCAGGCGCCGCGGCTGGACGGCAGGGCGGCCGGCAGGGATGTCGGCAGGGTGGTGTTCGTGCGGGCGAGCGGGGGAGAGGGCGGGCGGAGCCTTGCGCTCGGGCAAGGGGGCGAAGTGAGGGGCTCGGCGGGCCGGGGAAGGGGGGAGCGTGGGCGTGGGGGAGGTGGGCCGCGCGGGGAGGGATTGCGGCGCAACAAGATCGGGACTGCGGAGGTGCGCCGGGGGAGCGGAAGTAGGTGCGGAAGAGGCGGAGCGGGTTCGGGAAGCGGAACGGGAATACGCGGGGAGTCGGCGGGAGGGAGGCTTGGCGGTGGTGGGAATCGGGTTAACAGCAGCGGGCTTGGCGCCAATAGCCGACAGTATAGAGTCATTAAGTGATTGCTTGAAAGCAGCTGTGGACGATAACGGGGCTGCTTGTACCGAGGACACTGCGGGCGGCACAGATCCAGTTGTAACTGGCGCAGGTTCGGCTGCGGAAGGCGCGGATGGGGCTGCGGGCGGCGCAGCCGCGGTCTTCAGGAAGGGGGAGAACGCGGGGGCGGCGACCAGACGGCTCAGTCGCGCGGACGACGCGGGCGCGCCAAACCCGTTCCCGGGCGCGGGGAAAGACGCGCAAAACCCTTCGCGCACATGGAACAGCGGCAAAGTCACTGCGCCAGGGTTTAGCAATGGCCGAGCCGTGCCCTTACCGCGGAACATTTCCGGCGGCGCGCGTGCTGAAGTGGCCCGCGCTGACGTGGCAGAGACCGACGAAGGAAGATGCTCGAAAATTCCCAAGGGCTTTCGTAAGTGCACAGCAGAGTCGGAGAATCTTGGTAAAACAGAAATCGTTGGCAGAGCTGACGGAGTCGGCAAACCGCTTAGCGAACCGGCTAGCAGGCCGGTATGTGTACCGTTGGTCAAGACGGACGCGCTCGGAGCACCACGCGGTAAACCCTCTTCGGCAAAATCTGGGAACCGCTGCCGAGCCGAAACGGCGCCTGCGCCGCCGCCACCACCGCCACCGTCACCTTCGCCGTCATATCGACAGTCGGCTAGCCGATCAATCTGGCGATCAGTCAATAGCGCGGCGGGGCCCATCGTGCCGCTCTCCGCCATGGCCTCCGCGAGCTCCGCGCCGGCCGCCGTCATATCTGCCGCCGTCTCTGGCGTTTTCTCATCTACTACTGCCAAGTCCCTACTGTCCCATCGGCCGGGAAAGCCGGAAGACTCGGTTGCGACGCTTCCGCTGCTTCTGCGACCTAGCGTCGCGGTCACTCCGCGGGCAAAGGTAGGCGAATCGCCGTCGTCCCAATCCCCGTCCCGACTTTCCGCTTCCCATATGGCCTCAAATTCCCCAAATCGGCCGCCTGATGCTGACGTGGAAACGGAGCGCGAAAAGGAGCACCTCCGCCTTCCCGGAGTCATCGCTTCGTTCGCGAATACTATTTTTTCGCCATAGAACTCAGAGTGGATGCCAGGAGAAGTTGCCGATGGGCTCGGCGTGAGTGAGGCCGGTCGAGAGCCTGCATCAGTGGACCATCGCCGGCCTTTGTACTTGAAGCTCGAGCCTGAATGGAAACTGTACGAGCGGGTGAAAGTCGCTTCGCCAACTTCTCGAGCTTTTTCGCGACCGGAGAAGCCGAAAGGAGTCCGTGGGGAGACGAGGGAGGAGGGGGAGGACGGAACGGAAGCGGGAGCGGGGGAGTGATGCGAGTGATACGGGCACGAGAGGCTGCTGTGAGCGAAGGAGCACGCGCAGAGGTTTCCCGGCGACGCCATAGTTACGGTTCGGGAGCGACTGCGGTACGGGAACTCCGAGGCGCAGCTGCAGGTTCGGCTAAGGCGAGCAGAAGGTGGGTGATTTACCGCATGCTTGAAGGATCGCGCGGTCGTATGGATTTTGAGTAGGCCTTTGAACTTCATATACTTGCTGACTGAACACTCAGCAAAAGAGAGACCGAAAAAGAAACAGATTCGCCTACTAGGCTACTGCCTCTTAGCTGGCGACAGGGAAGACGCGCTGTCTCCTCGAAGGAAGACCTGATTGCGTTTTTGTGAAGAATTGGGGGAACTAGGTATGTGGGGCTGGGCTCTTTTTCACTCGTTCTTGTACGGGAAGGATTTGTGAAGAGTTGGAAACTCAAGCGCTGACGGCGGACCTAGAAACTAGCAGCAGGAATGGGGAATCGCCTTGCCTAGAAGCTGCTGGGGTCCAGAAAGTAGACTTCACGGAAAGTAGTTTCTGAATCCCGAGACGAGACATGTCGCACACAGCGGATTAATTCACTGTAAGATCGCATACACACAGAACCCATGTAAATTGCGACAGTTCAAGTTAGGTGTGCGACTGTAGAGGAGACAATGAGGGATTTTCAGGGGCAGGTGCAGTGGTGTGATTGGAGAAGCGAGTCGCGAGGGTGGACTGTGCGATCCTATCTTCTGGAGGTTGCCGTGCCGTTCCCGCTACGGACGGCTTCCAAAGCAAGGTGCACCACACATCACATTGCGGTCGTCTACCAACCGACACGAGAAAGTTTTCAGGGGTGTCCATGCCGCGGGTTTTGGGCACTGTTTCTTCCTTAGGGTTCAGGTTCTTTTCCTGACAAAACACGGATAACAAGTGTTACCGCTTACGAAAGCACTAAACCGAACAAGCCCGTGACCGATCTTCTTGGGTCAGTGGCTGCCAAGATTGTTTCAAGCGCAATCTGGGCAGCCACGTCAACTCATTCCACTTTATGTACGGCGCCGGAGTCCCGCTCTGCACAATGGCGCGCTGTAGTGCGATGATTGGCTGACGAAGGGTCTGGGCTTGGCTGGGGCATTTTTTTACAGGAATGTGGCGGGAGGTTTTGCTGCCCAAGGAACGACAGTGTGGCAGGGTTGGATGGCAGTCACCTGCATTTTTGTTGGCAGGGGAAATTCGTGATGATTTGTGGAACAATCGATCGGTCCATACCATTCCCAACCTCGTCTAAGGCTGTAGCTGTATACCTCTTAAACTGTACGGTCCTTACAAAATCTCTATAGTCAGATTACGAAGATCGTCATAACGGGTTTCTCACCAACCAACCACATCACAGACCTCTCCATGCCCCAGTCGAGACCTCACACATAACACCACTAGAACTGGTTTTCAGTTTTAGGTCGAAAGAGTCAGGACTAGTAGAACCATGCAACATCCTTGCAGCAGCATCAGCGTGGCTTTCAAGAGCTAGGTTTCTGACCTGACCATAGTGAGAAGCCGCAATAATTTATCGGTTTAAGCGGTACGTGTGACCGTAAGGTGTTTGTTTCCTCCCTCCACGACTGAATATTCCTCGCGGAGGGAGCTCCGCGGCTCCCGTGGCTGGTTTGAAGCGGTCGGCGGACGGCGCAATAGACGGCAACATGAGTCTCTTCGGCGTGGGCCGGTATGCGCTTAACCTTTAAGCCGCAAATGGCTGAGGTTTCATATCCAGAATAATACAAGGATGTTTAATTTCATTCGTATCCTCTTATTTCTGGTTTTGTTATTTCATGCCGCTGCTCGATCTGCAGGCCACATAGCTGGCTATGTTATTGAAATGTCGTCCTTTTTTGTCGCAGGAATCAGCGGACGTTCCGGCCGAAGAAAAGCGCGCCGTCAGGAAGCAAGGTACGATTTTTTTAGGTGCATTTTTTCCAGTTGCTTTAGAGGTAGTTGACAATGCCTGTTTCTTTTTGCTCGTCGCATGCTCCGCCAGTTGTTGCATTGTTCGTGTATAAGAAGTGATTGTAGACGACAAAATAAAAACATTGATTGCTGTCACACCTTATCTGAAACGTTTGGCGGGAATGATCGTACACGACGATGCAGCTTCTGCATCGTTCGTACCCAATTTTTTTGTCCGATCGTCTTCAGCAGCTGGGCGAGCACATCGACTCCAGGATAAAACATCGTCTAACCATCTGTACCCCATCCTTCCTAATCATATCCCCTAATTTCCGTCCGTGCAGGGTCAGCAGCTCCGCAAGCACATCGATGCCACGCTCGGCAGCGGCAACCTTCGGGAGGCCGTCAGGCTTCCGCCAGGCGAAGACCTCAATGAGTGGCTCGCCGTCAACAGTGAGTTGAATCAGACAGCTTGCCGTTACCTCGTCTTCCCGTTGAACGGCCGTCGTGCCGCTAACTATTGTCTCGCTTTCCGTTTGACTGTTAATGCAAGTGTTTGTGATGTGACTCCTTCGCTTTTTGTCTCTCAGTTGCGTCCCAATGGATGCACACACCCGCAATAATGAAGTATCTTTTCCATCCATTATCTCTCTTCCGCTTTTTTATCCCAGCCGTTGATTTCTACAATCAGGTCAATTTGCTCTACGGCACACTCACTGAGTTCTGCACGCCGGAACACTGCCCCACCATGTCCGCCGGTCCCAAGTAAGCACTCCAACGTACCAATCAGGTTCTGGAAAGAAGTCGGACGTTCGTTCTGAAAATCACAAACTCGGTCTCGTCAATGCAAGGTAAAAAGTTGGAAATTGCCTTTTTTTGTCTGCTCGTGCCAACCTGTCTGGCAGGTACGAGTACCGGTGGGCGGACGGCGTGCACGTGAAGAAGCCGTTGGAGGTGTCGGCGCCCAAGTACGTGGAGTTCCTCATGGACTGGATCGAGACACAGCTCGACGACAGCACCATCTTCCCCCAAAAGCTAGGTCCGTGCTGCAGTCACTAGGGCTAATCCCACAATGGCTACTCCAATAATGGCTTGCTCAAACTGTATTCCCTCAGCCCCTCGCTTCTGACCCCCATCCTAATTTCCCTTTCTGCGCCATTCCATTACCATGCATCCCACTCCATTGGTTCGCACCACAGGAGTTCCGTTTCCTCCGCACTTTGAGAAGGTGGTGCGCACGATCTTCAAGCGGCTGTTCCGAGTGTACGCGCACATCTACCACTCACACTTCCAGCGCATCGTCAGTCTCAAGGAGGAGGCTCACCTCAACACCTGCTTCAAACACTTCATCCTCTTCACACATGTGAGTTGACCCTGGTCTGGCTTGTCATTCTTTCTTTCCCGCTTTTTGCCTCCTTCAAAAACCACTCCCCTCCATCCCACCCCCGCTTCTGTGCTCCATACCCCCTCCCCCCCCCTCCCCCCTCCTCTCTCTCCCCCCCTCCCCCCTCCTCTCTCTCCCCCCCTCCCTCAAGGAGCCAAATCTCTGCCACCTCTCCTCCTTTGTTCCTGTCCCATGCTTCTCTCGTGTTGCAAATGTTTCCTGTTTCTTTGCACCCTGCTTTGCTGAGCATGTTATTTGTTGTGTTGGTCATCACTTCTTCCCTTACCCCATGTCAGGAGTTCAACTTGATTGACAACAAGGAGTTGGCGCCGTTGGAAGAGCTTATAGATTCAATCACATAAGCATCTGGTCTGGACATCTTCCTGTAGAAGCGTGGATGTGCTTGATTGTAGTCAACTTTTTTTTTTGTCCGAGTACAGGAGTTACAGAGTCTCATGTTCACAGCTGTAGAGGTAATGTAATGAATCAGTCAGTCAGAATGTGTTAATTGAGATTGCGCACACATTTGTGTGTGCATGATGCTCTTTTATTGCAGTTCCAGTACCAATAAGGCAAAAAGGCTTACACGTTTGTGTTACACGTTTGTGTTTGCGCAAGGCTTGTGTTCGCCAAAAAGGTTTCGCGAACGAAACCGTGACCGCTAGTTTCGCATGTGAGGCTAAGGGCGTGTAACTTTTTCCATTTAAGGCCAATGTCCGGACGGAGCCCCCAAAACGTCCGAACGGAGCTCCGTACGGGCGGATGGGGATGTGGTTCGGACGATGAAGCGTCCGTACCACGATTGTGACACTTTTTGCAGTTTCTAAATTTGAAATTCGTCGAAACAGTAACGAGCATAACTTACCTCGCCAGCACATCGCTCAATTCGCAAGCATGCATTTGCGGCTCGGTAATGTTTGAACTTTCCAACCACTTTGTCCCCTTGCTCGCGCTTCTGTGAGTACAACACACAGACAAATTGAAAGTTGGAGTGGGAAATTTGATTCTGATAAATGTGTCTCGCGCACCAATGACGTTGCAGGGGTTCCGGACGGTCCGAAATGCTATCCGGACGGTGTCAGTAGCGTAGAACGGACGATGAACTAACAGAAAAGTGTCAGACTTCGTACGGACGATCGCGACGTCGCGGGAGGACTTGCGAACCTTTTTGACGAACCCTGACGAACATAGTAACCCTACAAAAGTCCGGACGGGGCCTCCGTCCGGACGATGAAAAGCGAAAAAGTTACGCGCCCTAAATGCAACATTTCAATGTGACTCGAGCCGCTTTTGCTGACAAACATCGCATTCCACACATTTCCATTCCATCTATCAGCATCGCTGCCTTATCCAGTTTCTGTATCAAGTCCTTGCTACAGCCCTCCTTTCTCGCCCCACCCCATGATTCTTGTGGTTGTTGAAAGAGCAAGTCCAGTGCGATGCGATACCTCTTCAAAGATAGGCCAGTCGACGCTTGGCTGGTTTATCTGCTGTTCTGTTTTCTCCATTCCTCATTGCATGCTCGAGTCGCCTCTAAACTCGCTGGTCGGTGTTCCTTAGCTTCCGAAGCTACCTCCTTTCTCCCAGTCTAACCCACTGCACCGTCTGAACGTCAGCACTCTCGCGAACTTCCGTTGATTCATCTATTTACACAGCGGGAGAAACGTCCTACGTGCAACCTTTCACCGTCGCAGGTCATCATGGCGGCGGTGGTGGCGATAGTGCGCCTCGTCCTTCACGGGACAACGATCATCCTCCGAGCAGTCCGAGTCGGCATCGCGAAATTCTGAGTGTGCACAAAATGTACACGGTAGCTTTTCCTGCGGGAAAACTGCGGAAAAGCTTCCGAAAAGCTTCGGCGCTCACATTCACAGCTGGGTGGCCAAAGTGACTTCACTGTGACGAATGGCCATCACTATGACGCAATCACAAAGTGACGAAAAAGTGGCTTTCGCCACTCTACAACCAATCACACAATCACCCACGTGGAGTTCCGCGTGGTACAACGGGTTTCATTGTGGTTCTCCTTTCTAAGAAAGAGACGAAGCTCACGAAATGTTACACCGATCTGACCGAAAGTTTGAACATTCGAGAACCAAACCACCAATCAACAAGCAGCGCGACAATCTCAAGCCAAACGAAATTAGCGAAGAACCAAATTGTCACCAGACACTAACACCCAACGTGTGTTGCGTGGTACCCAACCAGCGGACGTTTTCTAACCAATTAAGAGAGGAACCAAACACTTTCCCACCAATCAACACGATTCCTTATCTCCACGTCAACACTTCACCCACCACCTCCAGAACCTTCTCGAACCATATTCTCGACCACTTCTCAACCATTTCTTCTCAGCCTGTTGCTCGACCATTTTTCCTCCTTCTTCACTCTCATCCCTCGCCCACTTCTCCCTTTTCCAGATCTATCCGCCATTATTCGCTGACGAAATGACGCTCTAATGTGCCTCATGGTGCCATGCTGTGCTTTCGGTTGAGAACTCCTAAAGCTAATTTTGAATCATTCATTTGTTTTTGTGCCGTCTGACTGTTGGCTGCATTTACGGTTCAACTATTAATGCCCACTGGGTTCGTCTTACTACCGCACAGCGGATAGCGCTCATCGTGTTGCATGTTCCGGTACGTCGCAGCATGTCTCGCTTTTCCGTTTTATGCTTTTATCGAAGTAGACGCTCTTTTCCAACCCATCAGGTCTCGTGCGCTTACTATGCGGTGCACAGAATGGATCTGTAAGGTGAGGATGATCTTTCGTATTAGATGTGCATTCCCTCTTATGTCCTTTGCGCAGATGTGTCTTCATTGCCGTCACCATGCCACGTTATTGTATGTCAGATGAAATCGCGTACAGGACATGTAAGTAGTCAGTGAGTACCCTCTCGTTTGAATCACTTGCAATGTTGACTCCCTGTTGTGCTGCGTACACTTGGACGTCTGTTAATCTAATATCAGATTTTGCAGGTATCCTGGCTAACATCAGTTTTTACAGGTGCCATGGCCAAGAGGGAAAAAACGACTTTGCGTTTGTTGAGATTTGATGTTTCTGTTTTTACGTGTGTTTCAGAACTCTAGGCTCAAGTGGTTGAAAGGACAGCAATGTTTGCGTCTGTTGAAGTACCTTCATGTAGATGATTTAGTTGTGCCAGATCATGTTGAAAATGGTGTTTGTGCGAATTGTTAGCTCTGATGTACTAGGATTGTATTTATAAAAGTATATTTTTCTCAATGTACGAATATTCTTCACACATTTTATTGCGTGGGCCAATATGTGTCTCGAAATCTGATTGGTCCACGTGGCATTTTTCCGTCCACTATTCACCCTGACACCTGGCATAAAATATCTGAACACGTGGCGTTCATGCATCCACGTAGCAAAAGTGGACTTAAAGCCCAATACCTTCAGACAAATGTCACTTCTGATGTCACCTTTTAGTTGGGTTGTGTGGTTGCGATATGGCCGTTCTTTTGCAGCTTTGTCGTCACTTTTCCGCAACTTCGAAAGTCACCCCGCCCCAGAAGCATTTGACCTAGACTCTTTTCTTGCGAAACCAAAGTTGCGGAAAAGCAACTTTGGTTACGTCACATTATGTTGTGATAATCACTTTTTTCTTAATCTCATTGTGAGGGCGTTTGCATAAATCTCATGTGCCCTGGACTGCGGCGATCGCATAAAACAGAACCAATCATCTGTCGAACTTATATGCTATAGTCTTTCTAGGCTGTAGTGGGGTAGACAGTATGGGGTACAGCTTTCTAGGGTTTCATATTTGTACCCAACTCAGTTCATTCATTCCTCATTTCTTCTCATGGTATAAGAGCAGGTTCCGTAGTGGGAACTTTTCCTTGGGCCCACCACTAATTTTTTTTTTTTCTGCCCTGAGATCGAGTCGCCCCTGACCGAGGCGCGTCCTGTGGGCCGCCCTCCCCTTAGCGGCCCGTCGCGCCGCCCTTAGCGGCCCCACTCACGGCCCCCACTCACGGCCCCGTCGCCACCCTTAGCGGCCCCGTCGCCGCCCCTTGCGGCCCGGCCACCCTCTCGAGGCCCCGTCGCCGCCTCCGCGGCCCACCCGCCGCCCTTCGCGGCCGCGTCGCCGCCCTTTCGCGGCCCCGTCGCCGCCCTCCAAGCGGCCCCGTCGCCGCCCTCTAGCGGCCCCGCCGCTGCCCTTCAGCGGCCCCGTCGCCGCCCCACTGCGGCCCCGTCGCCGCCCTCTAGTGGCCCCGCCGCCGCCCCTCAGCGGCCCCGTCGCCGCCCTACCGCGGCCCCGTCGCCGCCCTCTAGCGGCCCCGCCGCCGCCCTTCAGCGGCCCCGTCGCCGCCCTACCGCGGCCCCGTCGCCGCCCTCTAGCGGCCCCGCCGCCGCCCTTCAGCGGCCCCGTCGCCGCCCTACCACGGCCCCGTCGCCGCCCTCTAGCGGCCCCGCCGCCGCTCCTCAGCGGCCCCGTCGCCGCCCTACAGCGGCCCAGTCGCCGCCCTCCAGCGGCCCCATCGCCGCCCTACAGCGGCCCCCTTCGCCGCTCTGTGCGGCCCCTCACCGGCCCTGCCGCCGCCGTCGCTGAGCCGCCGCAGCTGCAGCCGAGCCGCCGAGCCGCCACCGAGCCGCCGAGCCGCCGCCGAGCCGCCGGGCAGCCGCCGAGCCGCCGCGGAGCCGCCGCCGAGCCGCCGCCGAGCCGCCGAGCCGCTGCTGAGCCGCCAAGCGCCGCCGCCGCAGCTGCGGCCCTGTTCCTGCCGGCGCGCCCCGGCCCTCCCCACTCGGACTGGTGAGAACTTTCCCGAGCAGCGTCTCTGCCACTGCACTACCTCTAGCCTGCCGCTCTCACCACCAGACTGCTGCTGTCATGGCTACCCCCAGTGTCCTTACCTTTGATGCTGAGGGTCGGGCTGTTGACTTTGAGGTCTGGGTCGATGACTTGCAGCTTTTCCTACAGTGCGATAGGGCAGACGGTCTCTCCCTTTTCGATCTCACGTCTGGTGCCTCTCCTGCCCCGCCTGCTGATGCTGATGCAACTGTTCGCTCACAGTGGGCCACGCGCGATGCTGCTGCTCGCCTTGCTGTGCGTCGCCACTTACAGACCGCTGAGCGCGCGCATTTTAGTCAGATCAGAGTGCTAAGACCTTGTACGACGCTGTCGTTGCACGCTACTCTTCCCCTGCCACTGCTGCCCTTAGCCGCCTCATACTGCCGTACCTCTTCCCTGACCTCGCCGCTTTTCCCACAGTCGCTGACCTCATTACGCACCTTCGCACTAGTGACATTCGCTACCGCGCTGCGCTTCCTACTGAGTTCTGCGCCAAGAACCCCCCCCCCTATGTACATCACCCTCTACTACATAGTCACCCGGCTCCCTGAC